TAAACTACAACCGACTGGTGCAGAAGTAGTTATAAAATTAAAACCAGAGTCATGGTTCCGAGCCCTTGACCATTATTCTTTTGCTGCTTTTTTGCCAGTCCATGGTGACCATGGCCAAGTGCTGACTGCTCGAGTTTCATAATGGCCATGGATGGCAAAATTTTGTTAGAAAATTAGATTTGGGAGGATAAGATTTGGGAGGATAGGAATATGAGGTCAATATAACCAATATTCTGAGGAGTTCTCTCAATTTATAACAATTGAATATGGCAGTAGCAATCTAGAATTTAAATATGACCATGCTTGTAGAAGAATCAATAAAAAGTTTTCAATCTTGTCCAGTCATCAAAATCGGGGATTTCTCAGGTAGAACTAGGAATTGCATTAATATTTTTTGTATCTACTTCATGAAGTTGCAAAAAGTCTTACAATTGAGAGAGCCGAGGCAAGGTTTTGCATCACAGACAAGCAATGCCATTCTTTGTTGATGTGATGCACCATTCAAAAATGTTCGGTTAACATTTCACATGCATGTAGTAACCAATATTTTGTTTGATTTAATTGTGTTGGTGTTGACGTTTGACCAATTCACAAGAATATAACTAAACAAATGGTACTGTGGCAGGTATAAGGTGAAGAAATACACATGTTTAGTCTTTCCCACACTTGACAAGAGAAAGAGAAAATAGTTTGATGCACAAAGAGCAATGACAGTTTGATGGAATACAAGATCTGTAATTTTCTTTTCATTCACCTTATCATTAAATCATTTGTCATTCAGTCACTGACAATGTACTTCTTTGCCTTAAACTGATTTTATTTTCAGCCATGAAATTGACTATAAATACATGATATAGTGTGAAAAAAATAAGTATGATAAGATTGGAAATGTGTTCAAGCTGCTTTAAATCATGTGTTTGCACCTAAGCATAAATCATGTTTTTGAACCAGCATATATATCGTGTGTACTGTCTTAATAATTTGTTTAGGCTGTCTTTATTCATGTGTTTCTGCCATCTTAAATCATGTCGGCCATATAAAATCACATTTGTGCCATCTTAAGTCTTTTGCATGTAAAATACACTGCTGAATTTGTATAAAATATAAAAAGTTACTCTCCGTAAACATAAAGCAATCTTAAGTAAAACGCTGAGCTTATAAGGAGCACCCGATTTGTTATTGTTTGAACTGCAGCCTCCATTGGTAAGTGAAAGGTTACCAATTAAAAAGAAAGAGTTTTAAAATAAAGTAGTCTTTAATTCATAACTCATAGATGCCTACTGATGCTGGGCTTTGCTGCATCCACAAGTGTTTAAGAATAATGCGCTCTGTAACCTCTTATTAAAAAACGCTTCAGTGTCTTTAAATCTTGAAGCACCTGAGTCAAATTTTTGTAGTTAGTTAATTAGTACTATATTTAGTTGTTTCAGTCCCATGTACGGACATAATTACTTTCAAATTACGATACATATGCACATGTAAAACAGGCGTAGATCCGTTTTTGTACGAATGAACCGGATGGTAGTAATTTGGTGGGAGAATTGTATGTGAGAACACTTGATCCTCTGTATATATATACATTGTGTGTTTTAACATAATTTTGCCTAAAGTTTATGCATGAGATGTACATATATTGTTGTAGCAATGTTTGTTACATGACATTTTTATGCATTATAACTGTCTAGTATAAATAAACTTGACCTTACATCGTCCACCAAGGTCAATTTCATTACGATATTTTGCCCGAGGGTATATTATAAAGTATTTTCTATTTGCATTTTACGCTGAAGTGATTAAATGTACTGTAATATAGTTAGATAATAATTACGATGATGAATTGTGGGAAGTTGTTACATCTTTGTTCTTGTTTATTGATGTAGGGATTCTTTGTTTGAGTGGTAATTTATTGTTTTATAATCTAGATGTTTTATGACATTATTGTTTTAATTGCCTCAAATCTTATACGTTGTACTTTACCTTAATAAAAGTGAATAAATTCACTTGTACACCTGGCAACGGATGTAATGTAGGGGCGTCTGTGGCCGAGTGGTTAAGGACGTTGACTTCAAACTACTTACCCCTCAACGCTATGGGTTCGAATCCAGACTTTGGATTCTTTCAATGTGAGAAAGCTGTCCAGCTAGCTTACAGAATATTGGTGGTTCTACTCAGCTGCCTGTTTGTGCCCGAGGTTTTCCTTCACCAGTAAAGCTGTAGCGTTGCCATATGACCTATACTGTGTTGGTATGACATAAAATCCAATCAAACAAACAGAAAAACTGATGCAATGTATTCTGATTTGTTTCTGAATTCAAATTAAAGTTAATACATGTATAATAGTTGTTGACCTTAAAGCTGCTGTTAATAGTACAGGGCCTGTATGGTCAGACTGCATGAATGTGTCCTGGCAAAGGGTTTAAACAATTTTACAACAATTGCAGTCTGCCTGCATAACAGAGAGCATCAAGTGGTCCTTGCTTTTGTCAAAAGACGAAAATTTCTTGGACATTGAGTCTAATAGAGTCTTGGCTATGACTTGGAATGTTCCCCTGATATCCCTGATATCTGAGTACCAAGGTTGATTTGCCAATGCAGCAAGCATAGATCCAGGCCAGCTTATATTTTCTGTAAAGTCTACTGTTTGTTCAGCTTTAGTTCTTTGGTATTCAAACCCCTTAATACTATTTCTAAATTTCAGTAAAACCTTTATTTATACCATACTAAATTATCATTCATGGACTTGCATAATTATGTTTTTGGACTCTTACCTTCGGGAAATTTTCAAGATATGACTGAATAGGGAACAGTGAAGCCCATGATCAGATACATGAGTCGGTTCAGTCTCCACCAGCTGGCTTGGGGTTGAATATGTCCGTTACTGACCTGCCAGAGATAGTTCAAGTTGTAGATGAGTTTGCTGAACTAGACAGTGAGATAGCTGAACTAGACAAAGTATAAGGAATTTGTCTTATGAAATCTGAATGATACCCTTATTAAATTGTTGCATACTTCAGCTATAAATATGTCAGAAAAAACTAAATAATTTTGGTACAAATTTTTTTATGCAGAAACATATTGTAATAGAAATTAGACAATTAAGATAAATCTTAGGGCAACAATGGTCTGCTTGGACCTGAATGTGATAATAATAATGATAGTGTTACTGGCAGTGTATTAAATGCATCATATTTTACTGTCTGGAGTGATAAAGTATTTCTGGCATACACCCCAGTGTGAATGTCAAATCTTGGTTGGAGTGGAGTTTTTTTGCCTTCATATTACATTGGCCTTATTGTATCTGTTATAGAAAATTATGGAAGTGTAATCACTTTCGTAAGGTAAGGTTTTGAAATAATAAAACTGTTGAATATGTGTGTAAATGAAGAAAATCTCTGTTCTTTGTAAATGGTTTATTAGTATCTCGGTCTAATATTATTTTGTACAAGGTAATACAGAAGGGTTAAGGAGACTGCCTCAGACTCAACCAATGGGTCCTGGGTTCAAGTCATAATGGTGTCATGACCATGATTCCTCATAAAGACACCAGAACGAGCAGGCTAGGAGGGTGGTTCAAACAAGCAACAAGCTTTCACAACAGTTAATTGAATAATGTTTAAACATATTGTACTAGTTAAAGTTATATCTGAGTTTTACCAGTATTAAATTGCCACTTATGGGTTTCAAACTTTAGTGGTAAGAAGCAAGTGATTCTAATAATTAACACAAACATACGGGTAATAAATATAAAAATTAAAGTAACTTTGATGATAAAAGTGATTTTAGCCTTTGTCATCAGTAAAGGCATCTGACATTATACTGTTAAACTTTTCAGCTTTTAATATTGCCAAATTAATACTAAATGGATAGTTTCAATTATGGTAGCTGGACTGTTGAAATTCATCTAAAAATTTCAGCAGATGAAGGCTTAAAGCTTCAACAAGAACTAGCTTTCTTTCTGATGTAAATTCAAAATATAGTAAAGATTTACCAGAGTGGAAATCACTAACTTTTGAATAAACCAGCACCCGAAATTGAATTTATTTATAGCAGCATAATTATTATATTCATATTTTCAGTAAATTAGCCAAATTAGAGAGACAGTATTATAATAAATGACCAAAAGTTTACTACGTTGACATGACATTGCATATTTTTTGTGTGATATGTTATAAGTAATTGAATTTACGCTGGTATTATCTCCTTGTTAGGTTAATTATGACACCTGCTAACTGAGAGAGAAGATAATAACTATCTTGTCATTTAGAAATTAGCAGTACAGTGACCATACATTCATATCTCTAGATGACAGATGGTAGGGCAATAAAATATTTATGTGACTATTGACTTTTTGAGTGAAAATTTTCTGTGTTTTGTGTGGATAACTGAATCAAAACAGTTACAACATTCTTTGTGATATCATATTTTAATTGCTTTTGGAAATTAGAGTTTTTTTTATTGAAACTTTGTGTTATTTTTATGTGTGTATAAAAATATGGGATTTATTTGGATTTGTTAGAAATTTATGTCAAACAATATATGATTATACATGGTTTATGGAAGAATAAGTTTTGGGATATTGATTTAAACATATACAAGGATTGAAAGCTTACATATTCAAGACTTGATAATTTGGTAAGTGAAAACAGTTGACATAATTATATATTGATGTATGTATAAAGTGTAAATGAAAAGTGCGTTATTCTTGAGTTGCACCTGAATATTAGCTCTGAACTTTAAAATGACCTCAAATTAGTGAGTTTAGTGAAGAGACTTTCATACACCACTGAATGAAGAGGAGAAGTTGTAAATCACTTATTAAGGAATAATGCAGAATTTCTGATGGCATGGCCATGATTCGTGACTAAAACAACATTCATACGTAAAAGTGGTTTATTTTTTGCCACCATTCTGACCAGGCTGACCCCTGACTCTGGTTACACTTTTATATTGTTTTATTTTGATTTTGGTGTATTGAAATATTTTTGTTTGTATATTTTCAGGGGTGTGTTTTGTGAGTAGCAGAGCACAGGGATGAGTGGGGCTCCCCAAATGAACGGGCCCTCCAGCCCCACAGGAAAGAAATTTATAGATACAATTGGTAAGATCGTTATTAACAGTTGACATTTGATAATTCTAAGACTTCCAATGTCACTATTTATATTTATGTAACTGTATATAATATAATCTCATCACGTGCATCTGCCATGGAATTTGCTTGACTTACAGACCCTAATTCAATGGTGATTTTGTCAAACAGAAGAATGCCTTAGAATGACCTAAATTACTTTTTTAATTAACATGCTGAATTTTTATGCCCCCACTTGGGGGAAAAGGGCATATGGATTTACCCTCTGTCAGGGGAAGGGGGCATATAGCTTTGCCCTCTGTTAGGGGAAGGGGGCATATAGCTTGACCCTCTGTCAGGGGATGGGGGCATATGGATTTGCCCCATGTGTCAAGGTTAATGCCATGTTTTGAGCATTTAGGAGGTCACAGCTTTCATAGTCTTTACAGCATACTAACTGACACAATTTGTGTATAATTGAATTTGAAGGGAAACATTGTGGCATTATTGGGTAACATTGTAATGGTAGAGGGTGTCAGATTGTTGGTAATTAAGTCCTGTAATCTACCCTGAATATTGTAAGTTTTCTCAGCTGATTGTGTGAGTGTTTTCAAGGTATGTAAGTTATTCACATGTAACTCATGCTGTAAATGTAGAATATATACCTGAACACAGGTTGATGAATAATTGGCCGGGTCAGTGACCTTTAACTTTTTCACTGTGGCCTTATATACTAGATAAAGCTATGATTGTGTGTTTTCTTTCTGGTCTGCTTCAAGCTGGAAATACCTTATTTTGTGCAGCTGTAGTAAATCAATAAGTTAATCAGATATCTAAGCTTCCTGAATGGAAATTTGTAACCTATTTTTGCACCTATTTGGCACCTATCTTACTATAAAGGAATTGTCTGGAGTTGTTTTCATCATTTTTGCCCTATTGATGACCAAATTGCAAATTTCAAGTGCCTATTGTTTTATAATCTTTTACTGAGACTGCCTGAACCAAGTTATAAGCCTTTGCCACCAGAGTAGAGCAGGGTCAGCCTGCACACCCCTGCAACCTGGGTCTGCACAACTTTGGTAGCTAAAGTTTTGTATGTTTTTTTAAAATCTGTAAATTTGAATGGACTTTGCAAAGTTCAGTACTACATTCATTCAATATCCTCCATATACAAACTTGGCTTAAAACAATGCAGAGAAATATCATGAAGAGAGGCTTTTGCAACAATACAGGTAAAGTAACAATGTAGTTGTAAAATATAGACATGCAGTGGAAAGCTTGTCACTAAGCTGTTTGAACATGTTGGTTACTTGCCAAGCTTATAAAACACATTCCTGAGACAGATGTGAGAGCACAAGATGAAAATATTTTTGTATAATGTATACGGAGATCAATAAAATGTTGTTGTTTTTTTTCATGCATAATATTCATTAAGTATACTGGCAGAGATCAAATTCATGATATTAGCCTTTGCCACCAGTATAAAGTCAGGGCATCTGGCACATCTGTGTGGTTAGGTAGAGTGTATTTGGCACCTCTGTGCATTTAGCTCAGTAGGTATTAGAGTGTTGGACTGCGAATAGGGCCACCTGGGTTCGGTTCCAGAGGGTGCAAGTCACCTTCTATGTGATTGATCATGAAATGCTTTCTATGGTCATTCACACTGTACCTCTGCTTTAGCTGTATAAACGTTATCAGGTCATTGCTTTACTGGTAAACTGTTTGCCCAGGAATGATGCAGTGGCTGAACTGTTAAACTACCAACACCACAACCACATCTCTGCAGTCTGACTAAGAACTGTACTATAAGCTGACTTAACTTTATATTGTGGTGTTAATAACCCTCATAATAATGAACAGTTCCAAAATGGGAAGCCTGAAAAGTCAATTTAAGAAATTCAGCTGGTTAAATGTTTCAGTACAGTAGGACTCCATAGAAAAGACTTAATGAGTTGCCCTGATTATTTTTAAAGCTCTAAGAATCTTTGATAGTTTTCTCAGGCAAATTTTTAAGATATGACCAAGTTTTTCCAGATTGATTGTGTTTTGTCTGTAGTGATTCTGGTACAGGTGAATAATTCTGTTGAATTAATCAGTTAATCTTTGGTGATAAACTTTGATAGTAGAACATTCCATTGGTAAAAATCAGCTGGGTATCTTCACTATATAAATACCTCTATGATCATAATTTGTTTTCTGCAAATTGTGATGAGCAAGATTTGAAATTGAAAGAGCCCCCTCTCTCATTTATAGGCTTCATCATCTCTAGGAAGATGCTTTTGAGTAAGAAAGATTATTACCTTCAAAATTTCATCATTTTGTGTTTAAACAATGAATTCTACTCAAACCAGTGCTAGACAGTAGCTTGCATTTACCACTACTATTCAGGAACAAGCTCGATCATTATTGTTTATAGGCTTTATTATCCCTAGGAAGATATGCCTTTGAGTGAGAAAGATTATTGCCACCAAAATTTTACCATTTTGAATTTAACTGACTAATTATACCCCCGCACAACAAAGTTGTAAGGGGGGTATACTGGAATCAGATTGTCCGTCCGACCGTCTGGCCGTCCGGCGTCCGTCGGTTTTTTCTTGTCCGCCCAATAACTAAAGATTCCTTTGACCCACAGTCTTCATATTTTGCATGGAGGTTAGTCGTGATTAGTAGATGACCCCTATTGATTTTGAGGTCACCGGGTCAAAGGTCAAGGTCACAGGGGCTTTGACTTCAAAAAGCTTGTCCGCCCAATAACTTAAGATTCCTATGACCCACAGTCTTCATATTTGGCATGGAGGTTAGTCGTGATTAGTAGATGACCCCTATCGATTTTGAGGTCACCAGGTCAAAGGTCAAGGCCACAGTGGCCTTGACTTCAAAAGCTTGTCCGCCCAATAACTTAAGATTCCTTTGACCCACAGTCTTCATATTTGGCATGGAGGTTAGTCATGATTAGTAGATGACCCCTATTGATTTTGAGGTCACCAGGTCAAAGGTCAAGGTCACGGGCCTTGACTTCAAAAAGCTTGTCCGCCCAATAACTTAAGGTTCCTATGACCCACAGTCTTCATATTTGGCATTGAGGTTAGTCATGATTAGTAAATGATCCGTATTGATTTTGAGGTCACTGGGTCAAAGGTCAAGGTCACAGGGACCTTGTCAAAATAAAGCTTTTCCCCTCAATTGCTTCAGAATGCCTGTCCAGAGTGTATTGATTTTGACATTTTCACATTTGAAGCATGTAGAATACATAACTTAGCAATGCACTGGCTTAGTAACCTCAGATTTGGCAGGGAGGTTGTCCTTGAGCTCTAAATGGCCACTGTTGATTCTGACAAAGTGGTATGCGGGGGTATTCACGCCATGATAGTGGCAGTTCTAGTTCTGCTAGGGTTACCTGTGACCACTGTTCATGAACAGGCTCAATAATTCTGCTAGGGTTACCTGTGACCACTGTTCATGAACAGGCTCAATCAAAATGAGCTAGCAACATTTGTAATTTTATTCTATTTAAAGAAAAACTTCTGGAAAACTCAGTATTACTAATTGAAAAAACACAGACTCTGATTCTACCTTATTGACAGAATTAAGTTAGAAGGAACAATATTTATTTTGATCAGATTGCAAACAGCAATGAAAAAGCAATTTTGTACCAGCAGTTTTATAACTGGTACATGATTGTTATAATAAACACTTGTAGGTTTTTTTTTCATTAATCGCCAAACTCTTGAAATCTCGAGTAGATCTTATCCTGGCGTAACATTCCTGAAGGAGGCGTTACCTTGGCATTTGGTACCATACTGCACTCATGCAAGCTGTCGTAGACTGTTTGTAGTAAGTTACCAGTCTAATTATTATGTAATAGTATATTCCAAAAGGTAGATTTTTTTTCCAGCTCATTTAGTGCCTGTTGGAATTGTTTTTTTATGGTTATATTATTGAGCCTACAATCAGTCCTGATGTTCCAATTTGGCAGTTTATTTTTGTCAGAAACTTAACTTTTTAGTTATTTTCCTTTTTTAAAATCTTAATTGCATATATTTGCTGCAGTTAGGAGCCGTATTATGTGTGTGAAAATTAAACAAAATATCTTTGCATTTGAAGGCATTCATTTATGCGCATTCATCTTTTCCGTGGGGTTTCTTGATCATCATAATGTTCAATATTGCTATCATTAATATCAGACGTATTAATCAAATAACTGTACAATTTTGATTAATTGGGATCATAAAACATGGCGGCTGTTTCCAAGACTAGGTCAGTGTGTCTGTCTCTAGAAACAGAGGGACTAATAGCAGATTTGTGTCACCAGTATAGAACCAGGTCCGCCGTTTGTTGTGTCCTCTGACCAGGCTTAATACTGTTGTCGAACAGAGTTTAAATTTTCACTTTATATCCCCAAAATGGAAGGTCAGCTAGGCTATTTAAGGATTTAAGAAATTCAGCAGATTAAAGGTTTTTATATAGAACCAAAAATTATATGTTTTATTTTATAGAGGTTTTTAGTGTACTTTTACAGTTTCCATCGGCCATATATGTCCCACAACCTTGTTTTGCTGTTAGGCCTTAAGTAAAGTTATAATGATTTAATTTTTTTGAATGGTAGTCAAAATACTACTTTGCATACATTTTGCTACTTTATGACAAATTATTTCTCAAACAGCACTACTTTTTCCATATGATAAACATCTTACATGATAAAAATCTTACATGATCAAAATTGAGTTACAAAACAAATGCTTGCCTTTTCTTGAGCGGAAACATTAAAGTTATTTTTAAGACTTAATGTATTCCATAATGTTTTTAGCTTTACTTGGTGTATGATTAACCCATGAAGCTGGGACCCTTTCCTCGGCTATAGTTTGTGTATTGATTTATAGCTGTGACAAGTGCTGGAGTCTCAATTAGGATCAATAAAATGGTTAATGAATTCATATCAGTTTCTTGATGGAGCTCTTCTATTCTGACAACTGTAGTGTAAAACATTTTCTAATCAGCATTCTGATTCAGTAAATATTGACACATGTGCTTGA